AGGTGATTGTCAAGCCTTGTCTTAATGACCCCCAGGGTAGGAGCCAGCACCACTTCGCTTGGAAGTTGGTTCCAGATCCTAGCTGCCCTGAACGTGAAGTAGCACCTCCTGATGTCTAATCTGAATTTACCCTCTGCCAGCTTGTGACCGTTATTTCTAGTCGCTCCTGGTAGTGCTCGGGGGAACAGGGACTCCCCCAGTGCCTGCTGGTCCCCTCTGACTCATTTGTAACAGGCCACAATTATGCAGTTGGTCCAACTCTAAGCAATCTTTGCCTCTAGCAAAAGTTATTGGTGTGTTTCTAAGTAATCAAGGAGAAATAAATAACTGAATTGTTTCATAAACTTACATAAAAATACTGGTATATGGTTGTTACCCTTTGCAAAGAGTTTACTGACAGATATGTTAATGAAACACCATTAACCATGTCATATTCAGGATACAGCTTCATTCTAAACCTTTCCATCAAATATGCTGGCATTTGTACATTATTCTGTATTGCTATACATCATCTGCAGTCATTTTGCTAAGCACAACGTATTGCATACTGGCCATATAAATATCTTTGGAAGACAGTCATATGGTACAATACATAATACTAGAGGTATACTAGACTACAAAATGAGGCACTTGCAAGAAGGGCCTGCTTGGGTACAGTTGCAAATTGTAATGAAGAAGACACTTTTCAGCCCTGGCTGTTCAGTTATCTGAAGATTAGTGGTTACCTCTTGGCTGAGATTTTTCCTGTTACCTTCTTGTAGTTGCATTGAAGCATTAACACATATTGAATCAATCCTGCTTTGTCTCTTTTCCTTAGCAGAGGGGTCTTCCCATTGAAGAGAACTGCTAAGGCCCTCACCATGTCTCTGATAGCCTGATAGGCAGGGTTTGCTATGTTCTAGTGCTGTGGGTACTGCTACGAATTCCCTCATTAGATTGTGGTCTCCTGCAGGTGATAGATGCCATTAGTGAGGCCATCTCTCAGACACAGGGCTGTGTCCTGCTGGATGTAGATGCTGGCCCCTCTACCAACCGAACAGTCTATACATTTGTGGGGACTCCAGAAGATGTCGTCGACGGTGCTCTGCGGGCAGCCAGAGTGGCTTTTCAGCTCATTGACATGAGCAGACACAAAGGTGATCATTCTGGGTTGGGGTGGGAGGCAATTGCAAGTCTAGTCACTCAGCATCCTGCTGCATGTCAAAGCTATTTTGCCATTTTGGCAGAGTCCATATATATCAGCAAAGCCCAGGCAGCCAATACACGTACAGCCTTGAGTCCTGATATGTGCAGTAACCATGGTACATCCATGTAGGTAGAACATCTTATGAGCTCACAGGCACAGACAAGCATCCAACAACCTCTTCAGGCTGCTGGTACCTTCACAGCTATCTGCAGGTATGTCTACATTCTTCTGGTCCAGGGTGTAGTAGCCATAAATGCATGCAATCTTTGAGAGGGACCATGTGGCTGGCAGTGTCTCCTGGGACTACTGACCAAAGAGCCATTTTACATCTTCCCAACCCCCTGCCATGCCCTGCTGACATCTCAAACTAGTTTAACAGTCTGACTGCTGCGGCTTCCTCTTCAGGTAGAGCTAGATTTTAAAAGCACAACTAGAAAGGAGCTTCTGCCCAAGCATTGAGTGAGCTCATGTCTCTTGTAGTGAAGAAGTGAAGGCAGACAGCTGGTGCTGACTAATGTGAAGGGTTCTGCTTCTCTCTGCACCTGCAGTTGCTTGCTTTCAGGCTGGAATAAATACTGGTGCCAGTTTAGCCAGTTCAGGTGGTTTAATCAGTTATTTCTCTTATGTTAGTGACCTGGAAGCAAGAGGGGAGTAGCTTAGTCCTGAAATGGTGCCAGATGGATAAATGAAGATACCATAGCATCCACCTTAGTTAAATGGCCTCTTCTCTGTGCTCCCCCTCCTCTGTCCTGCCTCTGCCCCACTCAGGCCTCTGGGCAATTCCCTGAAATGCTGTTCCTCTCTCCTAGGTGAACATCCCCGGATGGGTGCCCTGGATGTCTGCCCTTTTGTGCCAGTGATGAATGTCACCATGGAAGAATGTATTCACTGTGCCAATCTGTTTGGGAAGCAACTGTCCACAGAGCTTGGGGTACCTGGTGAGTTGGTGGTGAGGAAGTGAGAGAGTTCTGTATGTGGAAACTTCTTTTCTGACCTCTTATGTGGGTCCCTTCCTTAATCCCTCATCCAGACAGATGTCACACATTGGTCTGTGCTAATGTTATAAAAATATATATTTTTTAAGGGATGATTTGGGAGAAAATGTCTCATTACAGTATTCCCCAGAAGGAAATGCATGAGCTATTAAATCCTTTGTGTGAGGAAAATGAGGGGCAAATCATTCACAAATGTCACTAGAGGTTCTGGGAGCCCATCTCACAGACGGTTGGAAAGGTGGGGGAAGGCAACTTGTCTTCCGGAGGCTGGATGCCTGGCATGTTGAGAAGATCAGGTTGCTTTATGGGGTCGCCAGCTGGGGATCCAGACACTGAGGACTCCATTCTCAGTTGTCATTTCTATAACTTAAAGTGCTACTTACCAAGGAATCAAGGGAACCTCTAGTCATAAAACAGGCAGCACTCTCTTGGGGTATCTCAGGTTTTATGGATAACATTGCATGTGGTAAAGAAAGCTCATGCCTTAGCAGGTAAATGAAGGAACAGCTGATTTATGTCAATACCAGTGCTGCTCTAGTTGATGTATATATAGGTAGATCTACATGCATCTGTGTATATATGTGTATATATAGACTATGTATGTGTTATTTGGGATATCCAGGCCTATAGAGACATTGTTGCTCACTTAGTAACCTACAGCTTCCTTTTTTATTTATTTTTTTGAAAGCCCCAAAGTTCTTCTTTAGGCTATATGAGGTTTCCCCTGGAGTGAAATCTGGAGTCCATCACATCAGTGCGTAATACTATAGCCAGCCTGTATTTGAGCTTGAGGGCAGCAACTCAGCCCTTTTTCATTCCATGAATGAGGAATAACTTGTGTCTTCACTCAGCATGGGGCCTATGAGTGTTGAAGGGTCCCATGTATCCAGGTTGTAGCTGCATTGGTTTAGAGGAAAAAGCAATCAGGACTCATGGTAGAGGTGATATCTTTTATTAGACCAACTAGATTTTTTTTTTTTTGCAAAAATCAATAATAAGCATGCCACTTATCTGTCTCTCACACATCTCTTCTTACAGTGTACCTATATGGAGAAGCAGCACGGAAGGAGAGCAGGAAGTCTCTACCTGCAGTCCGAGCTGGGGAATATGAAGCACTCCCTGAAAAGGTGAAATTCTTTGTAGTATTTGGGAATGGCAGTTGTGCTGCTTGTGTTGTGTTGGGAGGTCCTGACACTTCTCTCATTGGAGCGAAAGGTCCTTTCTGCTTGCTTTACTGTCTCAGAGGCTGATTTAGGGTTGAGCTCGTCTCCAGCCAGATTTGAGCTGGTCTTGAGTGTGCTGGATCTGTCCGTGCCTGCAGATGGGAGGCTTAACTAGCTAAGAACATAATGGGAGGGACAGGGCAGTTGGCTGAGCTGAGTTTATCATCCTGGACAGAAAGCTTGGCAAGAGTGAGAAGCATCTTCTTCCTCTATCCTTGTTAGAACATTAACTGGAGACTTTGACACCTGCGTATGAGTGTCTTTTTCCACTTTGCTCCAAAAATGGACAAACAACTTTAGGTGGTTGTGAATAAGAGAGACTTTTCCCTTAATCCTTGCTGATTCCCTTGGGGAAGGGACTGTGCCACTGCAAAGGACTTTGTATGGGGTCAGAACTCAGTTAATGATGATAATCATTCATGGTAACTTTCTTTTTCCACTTCTGGTTGAGGGAGCGGTAGGGAAAAGCCCGTCATGATTAGGCAACTAACCTCACGCTGCTGCAGCTGCAAGCTCAGAAGCCTCTGCTCATGGGTCCCCCTTATCATCAAAGACATGGGGCAGTCTCAGGGTGATCTATATGATGGCTCTGGGACTCTGGAACATGCTCTCTGCTTTGGCCTGTGGTAGCTCAGTTTTAATGACTAGGGGCATGCAGCAATAAAACAGAATTTGATGGGGACTTGAGAAAGGTTGTGGATTTGTACCCTAGGGGATGAAGTGGTAGAAAAGAGTTTCTGTTGATGACTGACTGAGATGCCACTGAACTGATCTCCCATGCACTTCAGAAAATCCCATTAGATGCCTACATGCATTTTAGGCATCTAAACAAATCTAGTTCCTAGATCCTTAGGTAGACATCTTCTTAGTTATTTTAACATCAAATTTAAATTAAAAAAATATTGTTTATAAACAACACTGGATAAAACGGAAGTGTTTTATTTTTGAAAGAATAATGCAAGTTCTCAGAAACATGTGATAAGCCCCAACTACATTAAAAATCATATATTGCTTGTAGTGGGTCTTAGAAGTCTAAAGTGCTAGGAAGAGTGAAATCCTTTGACCTGCTTTATCTAAAAGTTGATTATTAACTACTTTTTCCCAGAGGTTTATTTACCTAATTGCAGTGCCTGGAATTAGCATTAAGGGGCAGTATAATCATCCCTGTTACAATATGACTGCTTTTGGAGGATGGCAGGTAACAATTCTGAACAGAGCTAAAGCCTGTCTATGGTAGCGACATGCAGTACAGCCAGCGCGCAGCCAACATGTGCTCTTGGGCATTGCTGTCTGAATTGGGATTACAGCCCTGTAACTGACATTTTGGTTCATTGATCATGCTGATTTATTTTTTTTGTTATTAGTCCAAATGCTAAGCTTCCTTTGGGATTCAAACTTTTTAAAGTTTATAATTAAAAAAAAAATAGAAGCAAATTTTGCAACAAAAATGTCTCGCAATAAAAAAAATCAAAATGTTTGCTATTTTCTGCGTTTTTTTTCTTTTGCCTGCATAATTTGTTAAAATCAAGAAGAATTCATTACATGTTTCAGTGTTGCCGAGATCTTTATTTTTCAAAATAATCTTCCAGCAAGGCACCTTTAATGAATGTAACCATCTTTCAAGAGTTATTTTATTTTAGAAGAATGTACTTGCCTGGTGTTGCACTGCATGTGCACCAATATGCGTGCCTGAATCAGAAAGCTTATTGATGGATCCACAGTGGTGCTCTAAGGCAACTGTGTTACAGCCCTACTGAAGTTTAGCAGGTGCAGAGCAGGCATACTGTGTGCTTCCTGCAGTGCTTTGGAGACACTGGGGAGAGACTGTGAGCTGGCATCAGCTCTTTGGTGTGAGGAGACACCACAAACAGAACTGGCTGACCGTAAAACAGTAAGGAGTTTCGTTCCAGTGAATCACATTTTCTTTCTTTTCTTTGATTCCAAGCTGAAGAAGGCTGAGTGGGCTCCTGATTTTGGCTCTCCAACCTTTCTGCCAAAATGGGGGGCCACAGTAACTGGGGCCCGCAAATTCCTCATTGCATACAACATCAACCTGCTATGTACAAAGGAGCTGGCCCATCGTATTGCTCTCAACATCCGGGAGCAAGGTCGTGCACAGCACCAGGTACTTCCATCCCACTCTTTGGAGCAGGTAGGACTAGGACAGTCCCTTGAAGGACAGAGAAAAAATAATTCCACCTCCTCTTCCACCCCCTGAGCCCATATTCCTCTTTCCATAATTGTTCATACTGGAATAGTTTATCCTGCATGTGATGGGACCACTGATTCAAGCAGCACTTGGGCATGTCTGAGTTCAGCTGGGGTGACCCTCCATCCAGCTCTACAGTCTTTGGGGCTGTAAGATCCTCCAGGCAGAGAACTCCATAGGTTTGAAAGGCCTCAAGCATGCCTATCAAGCAGAAGGAGATGGGGTGAGGGAAGAGTCCCATAGCATTGTATCTCTAGAGATAAATGCATTGCTTTATCTTTTTTAAAGGTGAGCAATTCTATCCTTGTTACTTTTCCTTCATGTGCAACCCCTTATTTTAGAAACTGTGAAGAGCATCCCAAGCCATCTGCAGAAAGCTGCACTTGTTGCATCGCACACTGGACTGGGTGTTCTGGAGAGGAAAGCTTAATCCAAAAGCTCATCTAGGCTAAATTAGTCACTGGAGTTTGAAGCATGGTTGTTCTTTACAGCCTGGGCGCTTGAAGAAGGTCCAAGGCTTGGGCTGGTATTTAGATGAGGAGAATATTGCCCAGGTCTCAACAAACCTGCTCGATTTTGAGACCACAGCCCTCCACACTGTCTATGAGGAAGTCTGCAAAGATGCCCAGGTGAGCTGCACAGGTGTGAAGCAAACGTCCAGAAGTTTTAACCAGAGCAGCCCTCTCCCTACAGGGAAATATGCTGTCAGTCAAAATGTCTGATTCACATGGAGCAGGTTAAAGTCTTCATGCATCTGCCATAAAGCCTTATTGTGTAGTAGTGCATGTGGGGTGGTAAAAGTATAGAAATACACTGTGAGCTATCTGTTACCCTCTGTGCTTGTTAGGACATAGGGACACATGCCTTGTGAGATCTGTGGCACTCTGAGGCACCCAAGGGGTTACATATCCCCCTAAGTGCTGGCAACTGTGGCATAGAAGGGGTATGGCCAAGTTTGCCAGCATGAGTTTCACTTCCATGAGATGACATGAAGTGCTTCACTCACCAGCTCTGGGAGGTGGTGGCCTGGCTTGCACTGGTGCCATGCTCTCACAGAGTGGTGACCCACAAGACCTACACCCAGTTCCCCAAGGGCAGTCTCTCGAAGCCCAGTGCATAATTTAGGAGTGCTGAAGGCAGAACGAATATTCCATTGTTCTCGAATAGAAACCAGCTCCTGCCCTCCCTACCTCCGAGGAACCCTCCTGGCAGGGAAGCACTGCAGGAATGGGATTCTGGTAGGCTCCTCAGGGTGGGGGATGAATTGGTTAGGACTGCCCCACTCTGTGCTGAGGGGCTCTGGGCAAGTCCACAGTTTGTGTCCGTGCATGAAACACCACCGTGATCAGAGTATTTCAGCACCTGTGCCCCCTCCCACTACCCTTACATAGAGAGAAGGTTATTAGGTTCCCTGGGAGAGACCGTACCTGTGAGTGAGTGAGTGAGTTGTGCAGGAGAGGCTGGAGACTGCATATTTCAGGTGAAGTGATGAGCAAAAGTCTTCAAGGCTGTGGCTGTGCTCCTGAATGAGGAAGGTCCTTCCTTGTTCAGCAGCTGTGCTGTACTTGGGAAAGGGGATGTGGCTAAGTTTGCACCAGGGATCCTGTTTTTTTCTGTTTAAAAATCCAAATTCTCCGATTAAAAAAAAATCTCAAATTCTCTTATTAAAACCCCCCAAATCCACAGTTTTCCATGTTTAAAATGAAATGCCACTATATATCTAGATCTAGATATAGATAGGTATCAGGTATAGATATAAATATAGATCTAGATATAGGTAGGTATCAGTTGAACATGTTTGTTTTACTGATATATTTACAATTTTAAAGCAGTTTGGAAGCCTACCAGTGCCTCAATCATTATAATAAAATAAATTTTAATTACCTATATATTTTGGCATTTGATTTTGGTTTTTTTTATCTTAGAAAATCAGAGCTCCCCCTGTCCCCTTCACTCACCAGGATGCAGGGGGGGGGGCAGCTGTCCCCCCACTATGTGCGCAGAAATCGGGGGGAGGGGCACGTTTCCACCCCTCCCGCCTCTCCTACACATTGCCTTTGCACCCCTTTGCCCCACTCTGTCACTTATACCCCCTCCATCCAGCCTGCTTTCATAGACTTACCTGGAGAGAGCTGTGGGAGCTGTTCTCTACCATACTGCTTGGCTGCCATGTGCATGTATACGTGCAAACTGGTACATGGCACACCTTGCCCCCTGTGTCCTGCTCCCTCCAGCCCCAAGCAGCCCCTTGCAGGCTGGAACTCTGCCAGCCTGCAAGGGGAAACCCATCATTTCCTGGGTTTTTCTCCTTTAAAGAAAATCCATGTTTTTCCATGGTAAAAGAAAATCCAGATCTCTGGTGATAAGATACAGACTGTGGTCATCCTGGTTATATTAAATGGAGAAGGTGCTCTGGGGTCACTAATGATTCCATGCTTACCAAACCAGGGTGGCAACAGGGATCATTTTGTTGGCCTCTGTATCCCTTCCATACATCCCTTTGCCTGCTGGGTGCAGCACCCACAATGGAAAGGGGCCTGCTGGATTCCTCAGCACGCGCCATCTGTGGTTGACCCTTTGGTGTGCATGAGGAGTGGAGGGCAGTGAGAGAGATGAGTGGGTTTGGGACTCTGCTGTTAAAAGCTGTTAAAATCCTTGTCTGCTTTTGCAGGAGCTGAACCTGCCAGTGGTGGGCTCCCAGCTCGTGGGTCTCATCCCTAAGGCGGCCATGCTCGCTGCAGCAGAGTTCTACATTAAAAAGGAGAACCTCTTCATTGTGGAGGAGGAGCAAAAAATCCGACTGGTAAGGCTGGCTTTCCCTGATGGTATAGTTCAGAAATCTTTCACAAGATGGACTTGCAAGTCATAGTGTTACCAGCTTCCTGGTGTTGGAGGAAGTCTAATTAGTACTAATTGGTGCCTTAATTAGGAACAAGGAAAGGGGCAGAAAGGGTTAAAACTGACCCATTGTTGCCAGAGAATCCAACTTCCACAGGCAGTGCAAGTATAGAGAGAAGAGACAGGTTAATAGTGGTTAAATCAAACAGGGTTTATTGACAGGGTTTATTGATAGTCTCTCTTACTCACCCAAGTCTCTCTTACTCACCCAGCCTGTCACAAGTAACAGATAACTGGATACAAACAGGGTACACAGAGACTCTCTTTTCTCTTACTCACAGATCCAACCACAGGGGTAGACAGACTAGCTGATGCACACAGATAGAGAGAGACAGATAGCACACCACACAGATCCTTTTCCAAGACACGCACCAATACCACACAGATTCCAAAAACACACTGTGAGACAAGCACGCGTGAGTGCACGCACACATGCACATACCCCTGCATTGTTTCCTTGCAACCTTGGAGAGCCCTATGTCTTCAACTCATTGATGCTCTCCATTCATGCCAGGGTGGTAATGATTCTTGTCCAGTCATTCTCTTCTGCCAGCAGGACCTGTCAATCACTCCAGGTGCAATAATCACACTCAATGGTGTTCATTTACGCTGGCTTAAATTTACTGCATGGTAAATTACTATGCAGTAAGTGGGAATAGGCTGGCATCTACATGTGCAGGCGTCTAAGTGCATTAACACTGTGTGTGGTCTGATTTGGGACTAAAGTTAGTCCCAAGTCAGTCCACGCACACAGTATTACTGCACAGTAATGCATGTGTAGATACCTTACTGTGCAGTAACTAACTGGGACAAGAAGTCCTTCTTTCGGTACATAGGGAACAGGAGGAAAACAAATGGGAGTGTGGGGCCCTTGCTCAGCAACTCAGGAGAGCTGGTTACCGGCACCCAAGAGAGAGCTGAACTCCTGAATGACTACTTTGCCTCAGTCTTTCACCGGACCAAGGGGAAAACCACGCCAGGTAGAGTAGAGGATGAGCACAGTAGGAATAATCGCCTTCCTACTATTGCCATAGAATTGGTGTATGACCAATTAATAAAATTAGATGTATGCAAGTCAGCAGGACTGGATGATCTTCATCCGAGAGTGCTGAAGGAGCTGGCTGAAATCATTGCAGAACCTCTGTAAAAACTGTTCCACAACTCGTGGCGCTCTGGAGAAGTCCTTGAGGACTGGAAGAGGGCCAATGTTGTGCCCATCCACAAGAGGGGCAAGAGGGGGGACCTGGGTAACTATAGGCCAGTCAGCCTAACTTTCATCCTAGGGCAACCCCCAACAGGCTTGGTGGCACCAAACTGACTAGCACCACAAATGAAAAGGACCTAGGGGTAATAATAGACCACGGTATGAATATGAGCTGGCAGTGCAAAG